ATAGATAGATAGATAGACAGACAGATAGATAGATAGATAGATGATAGATACATGATAGATGATAGATAGATACATGATGATAGATAGATAGATAGATAGATAGATAGATGATACATAGATGATAGATAGATAAATAGATAGACGATTGACAGATGATAGATAGATTTTAAGAGTCTACCACCATCCTTTAAAACCTGAGCACTTGAGCCAGGCTTGATGGTGCACTTGAGAGGCAGAGGAGGGTGGATCTCTCTGAGTTCAAGGCCAGCCTGGTCCACATAGTGAGTTCCAAGCCAACTGGGGCTACAGGCTACAGGAAGATCCTGTCTCAAAAAGACAAAAAAGAAAAAAGAAAGAAAAAAAGAAAACCTGAACACTGATATTTATTGCAGCTCTTTTCATAGTGGTAGAAGGTGGTGGGGAAATAGATAGATAATAGATAGATAGATAGATAGATAGATAGATAGATAGATAGATAGGTAGGTAGATAGATTGGGGGGAACCCATTCAACAGCAGCAAGATACATGGATCTTAGCAGTGTTTGGACTGGGATATAGCTCTGAATTCAATCAAAATTCAGGACGAGGCCCTGAATTCAATCCCCAGTAATATATACATACACACGAAGAAGAGGAGGAAGGCAGAGAGAAGGAAGGGGAAGAAGGAGACAATGACTAGAAGATCTTCTGCATGAGCATAAAAAGGCCATCACCAGAAAGGAAACAAGGATTCTAGATTACAACTGTATCTGAGTGGTAAAACTTGGAATAATGTATCTTCTCTCATTTTCCCATAAGGCTTTATAATTATCAAATTAGTTAATTTAGAAGAAGGGGAGTGAAGTGATAGTCTCTCAAACTATATCCTTCCCTGACCTCTTTCATAGGGCATGATCTCTGCAGGCAGAGCTCCAGGGGCCCTGTAGGCTCAAGCTATCCCTCACAGCACCAGGCCTGCACTCATGCATCTGTTCCTTCACTGGCTTTGCCTAGAATACCTTCTGTGTCCTCCACAATGTGGTTCCCCATCACCTTCCCAAAGCACTCTACTCCAGACTCTCCTACCAAGTCACTAGTGACAGCAGCAACCAGGGATCAGCAAAGGCCATGTTCAGATCCCTGTTATATCTCCCACAAAATTCCTAAGTCATTAGACATGCTGAACCCCAACAAATGCTTATTTGGTTACTGAGTTGGGGAAGCAACTCCCCCATGCACCTGAGCCCTTGATGCTCAGAAGCTTTCTCTCCTCAGAATCTTATGTGTCCAGGATCCATGGCTCATCCTCTTGCTCCAGTTGCAAAATCACCCTAAGCTTGGGACCTAGAGGTCCTGCTCCTAGGAAGGAGATAAGTCTTCATTTGATACAGAAGATGCAGAGCTGTGCATTGCCCTGGGATGGTAATAGGGTATGGGCAGAGAGGTTGTAAAAGCCTGGATATCATCTGGAGGACTTAGAATGGGCTGGAGATCACCATGGAGATAAAGGTCTAAGCCATGGAACAGAGCTCAAGGGCTCCCTCTACCAGGAAGGGTGGAGCCCCACCTAGGGAGGGGTCTGCTTCAGGTCTGCAGCAGAAACTCAGAGGAACTGTAAGCTGACTCTGGAAGGTCACTGCACCACTACTCACTCTTAGTCTCATATCACACTGCTTAGACTAGGGTAGCATTGCAGTATCTGGGCCACCAAGGGTAAGGCCCTAGCACAACCCTGCTGAGACCCTCAGGCTATTTCCAGGGTTGGGACTACTCGGGAACCTTACCTAGGGAGACAAGGAGCCTATAGGTCTCCAACATCACATCCTGTAGAGGCAGGCTTCTCTGAGAAGGGCCCAGGCAGCCCCACTCATCCTGGAAGAGAAGCACAGCCACACCCTCAAAGGTCACCTCTGTCTGGAAGAACAAGCTATTGCTGCAGCCTCAGTGTAGCTCAGGATGGGTACTGGAGAAAGGGGGTCAGAAGTATGTTGAGGGTAGCAGCATGGGAATTCCAAAGAACTCCTCCTGATGTCACCACCCCAGTATACTGACCCAAGTCTGCCTTGCTTGGCGGGGAACCTTGCTTTTGTGATGGATGGCGATACCAACAGGGACAGAGTCCTGGACTTGGGGACTTGTGCTTTTACAAGCCATTTATTAGAAAATTCAGAGGGTTTTTATACATTACAAGGAACTGGCAGTCACATGGGGTTTGGCAGTTACATACAAAGATTTAGGACAGAAAGAAATAGGACATACAGCTTTTTAGTTGGCGCCAGCAGGATGCTTGAATGTGTTACCAATGCCTATCTGGTAATTTATTGGCCACAATGTATTCTTTCTTAGGGCTAAAAGCATGGTAAACTTTTAGCTTTTAGCCCAGGAGTAAACCTTTAACCTGGCCTAATCTCTTAGCTAATGATAGCTAAGTTATTTGTTCAGGACAGGTAGATGAGCTAAGGGCTGTTGACCAAGATGCTTTCCCACACAGCAAGGTCAAACTTTTGAGCTGTATGCTTTTCTCCAGCTAGCCCTGCAGTTTTCTGCAAGACAGGGATATCAGAGTTCCTGTTTTCAGTGTTCCTCCCTTTAGCAAAGAACATAGCCTGGACTTAAAAGTTTTAGGCTCATCTCACTGTAGGGCATGCCATCCTGGTTTCCTATACCCCAGACCACACATCTGCCAGTGTTTGTTGAGGAAAGTCCTGATAGAGACAGATGTCACACTCCTAAAAGAATATCCACTAACCTGGAACAGGGTAGACAGGAACAAGGCCACCATCACTTATGTCCTGGACTTCCTGGAGGCAGTGGGCAGGAGCTTGTCAGAGGCTGAGGTAAAAGCGTCACATGGAGACCCAGCCTGGCTCCTGCTTCCACATGTCACTTGTGGCACCCTCACTGGCCAGGCTCAGACCCATTCCTATGAGACACTGTTGGTCTCTCAGGTAGATTGTTACCTTTCTGGCTGGCGCTGTCCTCTCTAACCCCATCTCCACTGCCTAGCCCTTTGCTGCTCTTTACTAGCAGACTGAGTTGTATCATTTGGGAAGAGAATGGCAACACTCACTTTATATGGAAGAATAAAGGTAAAACGTTAAGGTTTGAGGAAGACAAAGAGATTAAAAATAAAATAGGTGGGGCTGGAGAGATGGCTCAGCGGTTAAGAGCACTGACTGCTCTTACAGAGGACCCGGGTTTGATTCCCAGCACCCACATAGCAGCTACGAACCGTCCTTAACTCCAGTTCCAGGGGATCCGAAGCCCTCTTCTGACCTCCACAGCATTGCACATACATGCAAGCTATACACTCATATACGTAAAATAAAAATATTTTTTAAAAATAAAAGGCATTGGATATAGACGATTGATAGAATATAAAAATGCAGAACTAATACAAACAAAATTAATCAGTAATGACAAGAAGTAAAATTAAACTCATGGGGCTGGAGAGATGGCTCAGCAGTTAAGAACACTGAATGTTCTTGCGGAAGACCCAGGTTTGAATCCCAGCACCCACATGGCAGCTGACAACTGTCCATTCCAGGTCATCCGACAGCCTCTTCTGTCCTCTGTGGGCATTGCATGGCACGGGTGCACTTACCTATATGCAGGCAATACACGCATACACGTAAAAAATTTTTAAAAAGATTAAACTCACATATTAGACACACACACACACAATGTACCTATTTGCCATAAAAAAGCATAGAAAGACCAAAAGACCAAGTAAATACTAATTAAAACTGTTATAGCCAAAGATCTTGGAAGTTTATTTTTTTAACTTTAATTTTTATTTTATGTGTATGATTGTATTTTCTGCATGTGTGTAAGTGCACCATCATGCAATGCCCCTGGAGATCAGAAGAGGGTGTCAGATCCCCTGAAACTAGAGTTAAGGACAGTTGTTGGCCGCCATGTAGGTGCTGGGAACTGAACCTGAGTCTTCTGCAAAAGCAGCAGTCAGTGCTCTTAACTGCTGAGCCATCTCTCCAGGTCCCCCACACACACCGCTTTTTGAGACAAGGTCTTAATATGTAGCCCTGGCTGGCCTGAGAACTCTCTTGTAGACCAGGCTGGCCCAGAACTGAGATCTGCTTGCGTCTTCCTCCCCAGTGCTGGGATTAAAGACATGTGCCAGCCAGAAGTTTTTAATTGAAGTATGAACTGTATATGGAAAATTTGACCCACAGACTAGACAGGGTCAGAAAAGACGACCTAGTCCCAGATGCTCTCCTGCCCCTGAAGTTATTACTTTCAACTTCAGTCTCTGAAAGCTCAAACCTTGGGCCTGATACCATAGGTTAGCTGTGTCAGTGATGAATGGTATCCAAATCATGCAGTCTCTCTTCCTTGGTGAAGATATGTGTGAGCCACACACAGAGTACTCCATGTGGTTAGCTATATTTATACCAATCAAAACAGAAATGAAACACACACACACACACACACACACACACACACACAAACCTACATACCAGGTTTTAAAAAAAAAGTTTCAACATATTCCAAAAGATCTCATTTGGCAAAACATGAGACAATATTGTTATAGTAGAAATATATGAGAAACAAGATGTGCCTTTCAAAAAAATAAATGAGCACACAGAGTGGGGGCTGTGGTAGAGATGTATCCAAGAAAGGCAACCAAAGGCAAAAAAGCATTCTTAATGCACTTTATATTAAAGTTTTATGTATGTGAATATATGGTCTGCATGTATGTAAATGCACCCATGTCATGTAGTGCCCACAGTCAGAAGAGGGTGTCGGATATCATGGAACTGCAGTTACAGATCGTTGTTAGCCACCATGCGGATGCTGGAAACTGAACCAGATCCTCTGCAAGAGCAGCTGGTGTTCTTAACCACTGAGTGATCTCTCCAGCCCCCTCTTAATATACTTAACACAAGAGAAATTGAAATAAATGACTTGGTCATTCAACAGGAAACCAAATACAGAAGAAATTAAAGGACAAAAGATGAAAAATCATGAAGAAGTTTAAAGATGTAATCTTGGTATTGGTTCTTTGAAAATGCCAATGAATGGGATAGGAGGAGGGGAGAAGAGAGAAGAGGGAAGAGGAGGGAAAAGAAAAGGTGAGAGGAAAAGGGGAAGGTAAAAGAGGAGGAAAGGAGAAAGAGAAGGGGAATGTGAAGAGAGAGAGGAGAAAATGCTAATAAAATGTCCAATTAATGGAAGAAAAATAGAGAAAATGAATTATTAGGAACACAAAAGATAAGCCAGGCCTTGGAGCATATGCCTACAATCTCAGCATTCACAAGGCTGAAGCAGGAGGATCATGAGTTCAAGGCCAGTCTCAGCTACATAGAAAAACCCAGCCTCAAAAACCAAAAAAGCAAACCAGAAAAGCTGCATAGTGAAGACACTTGCAAATACATGTAACAAAGGATAAACACACTCATGGGGGGGGGTGGTTCTCAATGTGTCTGGCCTTGAACTCGCTGTGTAGACCAGACTGGCTCAAATGTGCAGCAAGGCCTTCTGCCTCTGTCTCCTGAAAAAAAAAAAAAAAATTTAAAGAAAAAGCACTGGGGGCAGAAGCAGACAGATCTCTAAGTTCAAAGCCAGCCTTATCTACATAGCGAGTTCCAGGCCAGCTGGGGCTACAGGGAGACCCTGTCTCAAAAAGACAAAAAAGTTGTTAGGAAAGAGGGCAGTGGGAGACAGCTGGAGGGGAGGCCTCCAAAGAAAATGTAATGACCCCAAATTGTAATAGCCAAAGTAACTTCATTTTGTATAAAGCAGCCACTTTAAACTTCAAAAACTAGAAAAAACAGCCAGCTTCAAGGTTAAGTGCCTGAACTTAGATGCTTCCCCTTGGAAGCCTGGTTTCTTTGGAGTAGCTGACCTTGGTCACCTCCCAGACACTGCAGCTGCACTTAATCATAAAGTGCCTTAGTGTCAAGGTCTCTATACATGTTAAGGACTAACACAAGCTTGTTTTGGCTTCTGTAGTTTGCTTATCTGCTAACTTGGGCATCCTAACCATACTCAGGACCATTTGGCATTACTCATGTGTGATGAAATACCTATGGTATTTGTGGGTTTTGCCTTTATACAAAGTTTCACCCTCCCCTTGGGCTGTGGGTTCTAAATCTAAGGGACCACGGACAGCTACAGCCCTAATAAATTTGACCAATTAAAATTTGAATTGAGTTTGACAGTCTTTTTCCCAGTGGTTTCAAACTCTGTAACAAAAAAAAAAAAAAAAAAGCCAAATACACATAGCTAGGAAGCTCAACCAGCTGTTTCTACCTTATGGAGCGAAGCATGCTTTGACTCATAAGAGTTTTGTTCATGGGCTAGTCTATACCTCAGAATTTTCTAACAAATTGATGCTTTTAAAAAAGGAATCTGCTTTGTGACAGTCTTTTTCCGAGGGGTCTAAAACCGTTAAAAAAAAAAAAAAAAAAAAGTCTGGTGGCATCCAAGGATACAGAAGTTGTAGGGAGTCCAATGAGTGGTCTTGGGGTGATCAGGGTACCTGCGTGGATGAGGGATATAGATATATGGGTGAATAAAGAATGGCCTGAGGTGATGAATAGAGATGGAGAGGCAGGGGGAATACAAATGAGTGGGGGACTAATTAGGGAATGAGGGTAAGTTTAGGGTCCACAGGGTGGAGGATGTGGCCATTCAAGGTCCCTGGGACAGATGGAGCCAGTTGGGAGATGAAGTCAGTCATGGGGCCCTGGGGAAGCGGATGGGGCCAGTTGGGGCTACAGGGTGACCCTGTCTCAACCCCCCCCAAATGGGGGATCAATGGAGGGTGGTGGACAGTAGAGGCCCTGGAGGACAGGTGGAGTCAGTCGGGAATCCAGAAGCAGAGGGCACAGTTGACATGAGGGACCACCAGGGTTGGAGCCATGCAAGAAGGTGGGACCTTAGGAAGGAAAGTCAGCAGGAGCTAGATCCGGCCTAGTCAGCACTTAGTACTGTGTGGAGTAGTGGCCACCTCCCCTGCCCCACTGATCCACCAATCAGGACAAGCCAGAGGTGACTCCCAAGTCAAGCCCTCAACAGTTCTGTGTCCGAGGTGATGCTAAGACCACTGTGGTGACAGGTGCAGTTTGTTGCTGCCTTTGAGTTTTGTGGGTCTCCTGGAACCACCTGTGATGCAGCAGGTAGGGAATGACCCAGAGACCTCAAAACCAATTCAGATGATTAGTGACCAATTTAATGGTTAACAGATCACAGTAGTTGTTTTTCCAAGCCATGAAAGCCACCAAACTAAGAACCGGACTTCAGAAATCACAGCTTTCCTCAGGAAGATGCATATTACACAAAGTTCACTTGGGAGCTTTTTTCTTCAGGCAGGACACTCAAACTAATGAGAAAGAACAAGGGACTCAAGTCTGAAATAACAGAAAAAATGTCTCCAGTGGAGATGAGACGGGAGGGCTAAACCGGGCAGGCCCGGCAGGGGTAGACACCTCCCATTCCTGTTGGACCCCTTCCATTCAAGATCCTTGACAATTCCCTAGCTCCACCAGAGAAAGGGGTAGGGGCTAGGACTAACTCAAATTGTTGGGGGAAGGGACATAGATCAAGCTTCCCTCCACTCTTGGGGGTCTCAGGTCACCACTAGGACAATCTTCAGTTTCCTGAGTGGGAGTGGGATGAGGTTGAACTGGTTGGAGGGGAGAGCCAGAGCAATAGAACCTGAGCAGCTGCCCCTATGTCCACGTGTTCAGGGGATGTGAGCAAGTGGGGAGGATCCTGCTCCTCCAGGCACTCAGAAGCACAGCAACTGGTTTCACAGTA